GAATCTCCGCCTCTGAACAAGGACAACTCATCAACGCTGGAACTGAAAACGAAGCCATCGCCGTCCGTGGACAATTCTCTTACGTCGGCCCAGATGGTGTCACCTACACTGTTACCTATGTAGCTGATGAGAACGGTTTCCAACCACAAGGCGCTCACATCCCCCAACCAGAACAATAAATAAATCACTTCTTACACTGAATTTGTACATAATTGCTCAATAAAATTTAAAATTTATTTCAATCTTATTTTCTTAAAAAAATCGAAAACAGAAAACATATGCTCCTCTTATTCTCAATATGATTATGAAACAATATTCATGGAATCTCTATTAAACAACAAACTTTCATATTAAGTTGGTTTTATGTAACCTTCAGAAGAAAAATCTAAACATACTTTTATTTAATAAATGAAGAAATCCTCGGGGAATTTACATGACATCACATTGTGAAAGAGAAGATTCTGTTAAATTGGCTTCACGAATCAAAAGAAGATTATACAAAAGTTAATTTTGATAGAATTATATAAAATGATGCTATTAAATATTGCAGAAAGTCTGCCGTTCTGAAATATTGTTACTATAACAGAGACATTGTTTTTCGTTATATAAATTTTTCTATTTACTTACAAATTTTATAGTTAGATTAGATTTTGTCAATATTTAAATTAATTGACGTGCATTATTTTCTGTCGGTAAATGTGTAAATTTTGTTGAGAATTATTCCAATTTCGTCAAACCGAGTATATTTCTTTGCCGTTGTAACAAAAACATTGCATTTACTTACAAATTTTATAGTGACAATACGTAATCTATTGCAATAGACAGATAAAGGGAAACATAATAAAAAAAATCACAATACATATTTTATATATAACTTTTGTTATGTAATGGTATTATATATACAGCCAAATATTAAAAACAATCCAATTGCAAGTGTACAATTGATTTAAAAGTCCTGTATCAACTTTGAAACTTATGGCATTTAAGGGTTAAACAGTAACTGTTTAATTTTGTTGTGAATTATTCTCATTTATCTATCTTAAAAATAGCTCTAAATTTTATTAAAATTTGCATTACTTTAATCTAAACATGAATTTTAATCAACTATTACAATGTATACAAAATTTTAAAATTTTACATTGTTATATAAAATTATGATGATAAAAATCTTCTAAATCTAACTATATAATATATTCTTCGGTTTTTTTTAATCAGATTATCATTCTATGGGATCCTCAAAGAAAAGTAATGCAAACAAAATAATGAAATATGTAATTCTTCCTGTCGCATCGACCTTGTAAAGAGTCTTTGACTTGGGCCGCATAGAATTATGGGTTTCGAGCAATTTTACCGAATATTCAAATTATTTTTTTTCTTTCTCCACAAAATTTCATTCATAAATATTCTTGAAGCGTGTTCCGAAAATTTTATATCTCACAGTTGAGCACGTACTTATTTTTTTTTATAGTGCATTGAATTTGTTCATGCATTATTTTATGAGATAAATACAATTATTACTTTATAGTTCATTCTGAAAATAAACTTTTAAATTATATTTTTTGTGAATGAATTTCTCATTAAAATAATTATTACAATCGTTTGGTTAGAGTTTATATGGAAGTCGTTAATTAATTTATCTTTTTTTATTGATCTTTCATAAATTAATTAATAACCAAATACAAAGTCGGATTAATTAATTTATTTTGTAATGGTTTATTAATCGTTTGAAGTCGTATATTATAAATGTATGAATCATGTTTGTAATAATTCATATTTAAAAACATGTAATAGGCTTTAGGGCAACGAAGCTAAATGTTAAAGATTCATCAGAAGAGGATCCAACTCTAATAATAGAAGTACGTGTTATTGAAATTTGAAGAAGATTTTTTTTTCGTTTGTTGTAAAAGGTCGATCTGCATGACCGAGGTGGGGAATTTGGCTGCGGTTTCATATAAAAATGCTTTCACTGCCGAACGAAGATCACAGTTCTGTGATAACAACAAAACTACCAACAACATGAAATTCGTTAGTACTTGTGACCATTCTTATACTTCTTTTGCTGATTTTCAAATTGCAATTTCAGGCCGTCGTCTTCTTCGCCGCTTTGGTTGCCGTGGCTTTGGCCAAACCTTTGGACTCCGACAAGGATGCCCAAGTCTTGAAATACGACTTCGACAACATCGGAGTTGATGGATACCAACACGCGTAAGTTTAATATAGACTTTGGATAACTTGGGGATGTTAATAAGTTTCAATTGATTTGCAGTTATGAGACCAGCAACGGAATCTCCGCTTCCGAAGAAGGACATGTCATCAATGCCGGTACCGAAAACGAAGCCATCGCCGTCCGTGGTCAATTCTCCTACATCGGAGCTGATGGTGTCACTTACACTGTTACCTACATTGCTGATGAGAACGGTTTCCAACCACAAGGAGATCACATCCCAAAGGCCGACCATTAAGTTTAAATGACTGATGCTAGATAATTGATTTTACGTATAGTGCAATAAATTTATTTTATTAAACAAAAAAAACTGTCTTTTACTTACATAATTGCTAAGATATACTATATTTCAAAACGACATATATCCAATGCATTCCAATTTTTTTATAACTGCTGTTCATTATGATATAAAACGCGTTATTTCTTTAACCTTTTTGCCGCGTCCCAATATATTCTTGACGACAGAACGCGAACATGCAACCAAAAATAAACAAATTTTACTTTAATTTTAAGTTGTATTCATATGTTTTATACAACACAAACATTTGCGCACAGAAATATTAAGTTTATTTTTGTGATGAAGGTCCTGGATCTTCTGATATTTTCTGATATTTCTGATTTTTTGGGGATAAAATCGTCTAGTCATTTGTCGCATTCTTTCTCTTTCATTAAGCAAATGTTGGTAGCAGGCTATGGCACTCAAAACTCCTCTTCTTGCTTCTGCACTCCTGTTAAAATTTGGATCATTCGCTACAATTTGATCAACGATTTTGGTTAACGTTTCTAAACTTTTTCTACTAAACAAATTACTATCACTATTTACGCATTCTTCAATTCCTTATTCTGCGACTTCTTAAAGGTCGTCCTTGGAAGGCCCTCACCAGAAATCTGCAATAACTCCTTAATATTCTGCTCATCTACATCAAATAAGCATAGATTCTGGGGAAGCACAGCGTTCGGGAACACGAATATTATATACGAACTATGAAATTTTTAGCTTTTTTTAAGGTTTCTAACAAACCGCGTTATAGCAAATGAGCGTTAATCGAGGCAAACCTAAACAAGGTCTTACTGTATACCGATGTGTGCAATATTGGGTTGTGAACCATACTTGAAGATAGGCTACAACATATTAAAATTTAATGATCAAAAGGAATTGGATTAAAATATATACCATATCTATTCTAGTTATAACATCTTCTATTATTTATAATTCATTTTTAGCGAAGACTTAATAAATTATATTTTTATTAATAATAAAATAAAAATAATATTATATACATGCACAAATATACAATAGCAGATTTTTAACGCCATATTTTAAATTGTTCTATATTCTCTTTTTCGTTTGTTCATTTATAATGTCTACATGGATCACTATTAATCGTATTTTCAAAGCTATTATATATTTTTTAAATAATTTAGTTTAGTTTCTATATGTATATATTCGTTTCTATATGATATTTGTAGAATTTTAAATTATATAAAAAATAATATTAAAACTGATATTTCAAATCTATTAATTATAACTAGTTAAACGTTGCATCTTTTGGTTAAAAAAAACTTGGTAATTAACTGTAAGAATGCATGGATTTTAAATTGCTTTTAAAGAAATGTCGTGTGTTCAATGTAATTGCATGCAGCAATATGTATGGAAATTTAATGGTGTAGATAGAGAAAGAAAAATGAATGTATTTTTTATACAGTTGCGTGAAAAGTCAATTAAAAGTTGCACGTTCGAATGCGATGAAATGCGACCAGTTGAAATGCTAAGGCATTAATTGATAAAATGATAATAATGAAATGAATCAATTAATTCGTATAATGCGGCGTGTATCTGCGAAAAGCCTGACATTTCGCACGGACAATTACTTTTAATAAAGCTGCTCAAATTTTGCCGAATGTACCATCTGCGAGATATCGATATGGTGGATGGATGGCACCGAAGAGTAGGCGCAAAAAATCGCTCCATTATATCATGTTATATAACGCAGTGGATGTGCATGGTTGTGAGGAGGACGGGAATTTGTAGAACGAATGGTTGATGTGCCTCATCCCAAAGGTCAGTGCGGCGGTCAACTCCTGAATGCGGAGGATCTGCGACCTCGTGGAAGGGGCTGGCAATTGCACCTTTTACCCGGTGTATATAAGGTACTCGCTGTGGTACGGATGGCACAGTTCTGTGATAAACTCAACTACAAAATTCGCAAACATGAAATTCGTGAGTGCCCGATTCAGTCAGAATAACGAACGCGAGAGCCTTTTCATTGGATTTATTAAAGCTGAAAAATACTGTTTCTTGTTTTATAGGTAATTGTTTTCGCTGCAGTCCTCGCCGCCTCTTTGGCCGCACCGCAGGGAGCCGACAAGGATGCCGTGATCAACAAATACGACTCTGAGAACATCGGCGTAGATGGCTTCAACTATGCGTAAGTTCTTCATCAAACTATTATCAAATGTAAACATATATTTTTGTGTAATAGCTACGAGACCAGCAACGGTATTGCTGCCAACGAACAGGGCCAAATTACCAATGCAGGAAGCGAAAACGAAGCCATCGCAGTCAGGGGTGAATTCAAGTACGTAGGACCGGATGGTGTCACTTACATCGTCACCTACATCGCCGACGAGAACGGTTTCCAACCACAGGGAGCCCATATTCCGCAAGCTTAATTTCCTCTAATGACTGAAATTCAAAAAAAATATACACACTGTACATAATTGCACCTCAATAAAAAATTGTAAAGAATTTAAGAAAATAATCATTGTTTTATTGTGTTTACTCTTCCAACTAGAAAATAGAAACAAAATCTATTTTAATTAATAGTTATATTTAACAAATCTAAGTCAATATTTAATAACAGAAAATAATCAGTCTCTTACATGCAGATTTGGTAAAGTAATAAGACTTATTAAAAAAAAGAAAAATCTTGTGGTTACTTGCAAACCGGAAAAATTGAAAGAAATTGAATATTGCATAAAATATAGTGGTGAATTTATAAAATAAAACTCAATATTTTGTACCTAGTTTTCTAATTACAAAACAAGTATAAGAATTGTAGCAACAAATAAAGTACATAAAATGTATATCAATAAAAAAAATATTTGCTAAATTAACAGATTTTTATTCAATCATTAAATATAACCCAATAAGTATATTTTTTAGTAAATCGAGAGAGAAACTTTTTAATAATTTGAACAATAGAAATAATTAAAAATTGTAAAAAAATATATATTTCAAAACTATTTCAATTGCAGGATTTTTGTTAGCAAAACATTTATTTTATATATATAATATGCTATAACTTTTTAATATTAACAATTAATTAATTAAAATTGAAGAAATCTTTATTTACTTTGAAAAGCGTAGTGTTTAAATATTTTCCATTCACTTATTTTTTTTACTTAGTAGATAAAGAAAATAAAAACTTATTTCACTCATACATATAACCGAAAAAGGTAATTAAATCTTCTAAAAAAATGATATAAAAGAATGTACTAACAAATTGTGTCTAGGATTCAACTAACTTATACTTTTCCTAGACAATTGCACAGGAAGTAGAAGATATCCAGAATCTATGCTCGTTTCTATAAATATAATATTGATGATAATATTTTGTACAATTATGCAATTAATTGTCTCAATCACCAAAATTAATATTATTTTGATCCATATGTTAAATAAATTATTTAAAACTAATACGTTATAAATAAATAAATTACACTAATACGCAGATTTATTTAATATGAATTCAATCTGTGAGAAAAACCCAGTGCATCATTATTTTTTAACTGTATTTATAGCACAAATAAATTCCAAATAGTTTGTATGCTACGCGGTATTCCATTCATAAAATTTACTCGAATATAAAAATTGTGATTTGCGAAATAAAGTGGATTTTCCAACAAAAAAACAATTTACAATAAGTAATAATTATTTTACTTCAATATTTGTTTCTCTGTATTCTATTTGGTTTGTCCGTTATTAATTTTTAATGCACTATAAAAGTCTGTCAAATTTACCAACTTATATATGATAGAACATAAAGTAATGAAATATGGTGACCATTTTATATTTTTTTGTAAAATGATTAAAATATTTTGAAAAAAAAAACAATACTTATTATATAAATGTATGTATAAATGAATAAATGTATACAATAAGTAATAACTAAAAGAACGCAACCTTTTATAGAAAAAAGATCTTTCAATTGCAGTATGACTAATAAAAAATAATGAGAACTTCTTAATAGATAGTATAAATATATATAAAAATAAAACAATACAATATAAATAATGTTACAACATATTCAATTAGAATCGTTGTCTCATCCATAATAATAATGCTCAAGAAAAGGTTAGGATGTTTCAAATTCTTTGGCGGTGTGACACTACTCATGGGAAGATCAATTTAGCATATAAATAAAATTTCATGCACATATTTGCATATAAATTCATCATTTACTAACATATTAATAAATTAAAGAATAATTTCAACAGAAATTTACGTCCACCCATATATCCCAAGACAATTAAAAAAAACTTCAATTGCAAATCGCAATTCAATCACTGTCCATTTCACGATATCCACATCATATGGTATATATGTTAATCATCTTATTTAATCCGAGGTCATTATTTTACTCATCAGATAAACTTTCTTTTGATTTCTAAAAGGATCGGGTAGGTCGTCGGAATTCTGGTTTTTCCTTCTTCGTTCACTACATTCATCATTTATTTATAATCTGCACTCTGATATGCATCATAAAAAAATGAAGAGTAATTATAATATATATATATATATTTATTTATAACAACATTTAGATAAAACAAAACGGGTTTTATATAGAAATGTAGCGATGCGCAAGGACATCTGTATTACATTTACATTGAAAAGAAACTGTTGTTTATATCGGATCAAGATTGATCTTTTTTTCTTGCGATAATTTATGAATTGAAGAGACTATATTAATGATTTCCGGAGGAATTTTAAGTATTGTAGACAGAGTTTGGAAAGAGATTTGAAGACATTCAAGGTTTGTCAATTCAAGGTTTCTTAGATTTTATGGTAAATCTTCTTTCTTTTTCAACAAAGTACTACTTTTTGCATTACTTCATCTATGCATTAACGATTGTCTGCACATTGTGAAATAATTTGAAATCCTTAAAAACAAAAACAACAATTTGAAAGATTCCTTAGAAGAATGATATTTCCAAAATTGTAATCATTTAATCATTTTCCATAGGAAAATATGTATATATAAGTCTCATGTTTGATATTGACTTGAATACATTTTTATCAATTTTTTTTTATAATTTATGAATAGAAGACGCCGCTCCTCACCAATCAATTTAAAATATGACCTTTCTAGTTAGAATTCAGCTTCAATTTTTTTTTAGTACATTACAGACGCTTCTCGAAACCAGTATTTTATGATTATCAAATATGAATATACTAATTAGCATGGAATTACATAACTGAGACCGTGCACCAAATCCATAAATTATATAAAATATTTTTGTAAATCAAATTTTTGATGATTTTTTTTCTTGCACTCTTATTGTATTTGCATTAATTTGATTACCAGATTAACGTTTCAAAATTTTAAAAAATCAATATTTTTGCATATTCAAATTATGTAAGAAAAAAAATGATTTGTAAACCTTCACTTTTTATTAAATTAGATTTGTTATTGAATAATGTTAATTTTTTTGTTATCGTTAATTTCACAAAGCTTTAAGATACTTTAATTTTGACAAAGGATCAATGTCCTGTGTGATAATTTGATTTTTTTTTTAAATTTGAATTTCGTAACAGTCTTAACGGTGTTTCAATGATTCATTAGATATGAATCGAACGGTAGATCAGGAGAAAGAAAAAATTCTTTAAAAAAAATCGCCGAATCAACAATTTGCTTAGGCTCGTGACACGATTACAGACGATGTAATTATGTAATCCAGGTTCATGGAATCCCATTGTAGAAACTAATGGCAACAAAAACCAAAGAAAATAAATAATTTAATGATTGTGCTCCTTCAAAATTGATGCAACAAAACTTATATAATACGAAAATATCAGATTTATGTAAATTCAATGGTCTCGAGATAATTTGATTGAAACCAAAAGTTCCCTCGAACGTATAATTACGTTTTTTTTTTGAGGTCATCAAACGCATCGCTTAATTATCCTACCGTGCGGATAATTCATACCCAACGTTATTTACGAGGAATCTTTACAAGAGTATTTAGTAATGTTTAAATCCATACACTTTGGAGATCTCAAAATGCCAAATTATGCAAAGACTGGTTGTGTATTTTGTTTCTTTCTTTTGATCGTCTGCATATTTGATCTCTACTATTTGTTTTTTCTATTATAGAATTGGAATTTGAAAAATGAAAACATCTTCAAATGTTCCGCATGTTCAAGGACACTCAACACAACTTTTTGCCAATTTTATCGGTATCACTTCCATTATTAAATTAATTAAATAATATAGAAAAATACTTTACAAAGAGTAAACTATTGAAAGAAATTTGTATTATATTATTTAAATTAAGAGAAGTGAATGTGAATATTGATTGATGAATAAACAACGAATTGTTTATACCCGGATATAAAGCAGACATATCACGCTGAGAAGAAATTTTATACATAAAGTTAGTTAGTAGATTATAAACCTCGGTTTTCGAACTGAATTTCTTTTCTTCAATAAGCAAACTGATATTCAATAATTATTACATTTATTTTTAATATTTCTCAAATAATATATTTAAAACACAACACACTAATATTCGTGATTATATGAAGATTTTTCAAATAAATAAAATAAAATGAGTTTATCAATTATTTCACATTGCCATATTCTGAAGCAATATTTGTAAAATTGTAAAAATGGAATCGTTGTTGCGTCAATGAACAAAATTCGGCTAATCTTTATTTTGAAAGCGGATTAAGTCTTTTGCACTCTCGAATTTGTGATATTTGGCCGATATTTGGTTCATTTTTTATTGTGTTTTTGTGTTTTATACTATTTTTGATACAATAAATGATTTTATTTTAACAAAACAACTGGAAGAAGCAACAACAAGAAGAGTAAAATATACTGAAGGATTTATAAATGCTAAGACATGTAATATCTTCTCTTACAATTTTAAATTATATTTTTTTTTATAATTTGTAACATATTTTTATCATAATAAATCCATGACGTCTTTATATTTTGTGAGCTATTTAATTATGACAAGAAAAAACGTCTAATTTGGTAAAATTATTCCCAATTTATAAGAATACTTGTTAAAATAATGTAATTAATGGTAAAATCTGCTTTTTTTTAAATATTTAATTAAATTTTTGAAAGTAAAGTCATGTAATTAAAAAAACATCTGTTGATTAGACCATATGATTTTCTGCATTAAATACAAATCATATTTTTATTACTATTATTACGTAAATAATAGCAGATATAAAATTTGTATATGTTGTTTAAAGATTAATTTGAAAGTAGAATGTTTGGATACTTTAATTGTAGAATACTAATTATTAATAACATCTAGGAACAGAAGCTATGAAATTGATGGCTGTTTAAAATGATTTATTATTGTTGGTATTTTAATTGAGGTAGACAACATAACACCTTCATTGGAGAAATGCCTCAAGTAAAATGCTGGTAATAGAGTTATAAATATCTATGGAATTTGTATAATAAAAGTATAGCAGAGAATTGTAATAAAAATTCGTTACGCAAAGGTCGTGGAGCATCCTTATTTCGGTGGTGGGGCAAAATTTTCGTATAAATGTGGTTTCTGGCAAATCCAAGCTCGTAGTTCAATCGAAAGAACCATAAACAACTTAACAATGAAATTGGTATGTAATGTTGCGAAGGTAATTAGAGAGTTTGTAATTGTAATTATCCGTTTTGCAGATCGTAGCTTTCGCCGCTCTCGTAGCCGTGGCTCTTGCCGCCCCACAACACAAAGACGAGAAGGATGCTTACGTCGTTAGGCAAGAGTTGGATAACATCGGTGTCGATGGATACCAACATGCGTAAGAATAGATATTTTTTTAAACTTTGGTTGTACAGATTTCTTCATTGTATCTGATGCGTTCTAGGTATGAGACCAGCAACGGAATTTCCGCTTCTGAGCAAGGACAAGTCATCAACGCCGGCCAAGAAAACGAATCCATCGCCGTCCGTGGACAATTCTCCTACGTTGGCCCAGATGGTGTCACCTACACTGTAACCTATGTAGCTGATGAGAACGGTTTCCAACCACAAGGCGAACACATCCCAAAAGCCGATCACTAAACATATTAATGATGATGACTGAAATGCTAATTACTAGTTGAAATTAAATTATTTTTAAAACATAAATATTTATTTTATTTAAGTTTTTCTCCTTTCTATTCACCAAATCTTCAATTGAAGCTTTAAAATATATTAGACAAGTATATCTAATTGCATTAACGCAATTTGACACTGAAATTACACGTAAAAATAGAATGATTTATTGATTAAGAATTAAAACTGAGAAAGAAAAATCCAGAAAATAAAATAAATAATATTTATTGAAATAGTTATACAATCTACACGAATGCTCTAAATATAGATTTTTTTATATTATAACAGAAATTTAAATAATTAAATTAATTTTTACAATACATACAAAAATTTCTATGAAAACTGGAGCAGAAATATTTTATTTTTAATTTAAGCCAAAACTTGAACAAATCTATAATAATTTAAGATATTTTAAAAACTACAGAAGAGACAACACCCTTATTTCTTATATGATGATTATAATCAAGTTAAAACTTTTGTTTGTACTCTATATTCTCCTAATTAAGATATATAAAAAAAAAACTACAAAAGAGACAAGTAATCTTACATGATTATTATAATTAAATTAAAACTTTTGTGTCTACTCAGTATTCTCTTAACTATTAACGTTGAATAGACCATATCAGGTCAAATTATACATTGTTTTACTTCTTAAAAATCATTATATTAAATCAAACTATATAGAAAAACTGTTAATTAATAGTTATAATGTATGTTTTATATATGACAGATATAAAATTATATTCTTATTATCGAAATAAATTAAAATATTTTGATTAAATTTGCTAAGCTTAAAATGAAATATTTCGAGAAAAAAGTGAAATAATTTAAAACTAAAAGAAACATATTGATTTATAAAAAAAACAATGGGTTGTGATATAAAATTAATGTTATATTTATTAATAATTTACATTTGTGATTAGATAATAAAAATGAATGGAATAGGTGCTCTGACCTTTGATGCAATATCTCACTCCTTATATTTAGTAAGAGTTCTACGTTGGTGCGGATATTTTTTTTTATATAAAAATTTCTTGCCTATAAAAGATGTTTTATTCGTAGTTTAGATCACATTCAGTTGAATCAACAACTAAACCACACAAACATGAAATTGGTGCGTTAAAAAGTGTACATTGGTGATTGGAATAAATAATAATCAAATAATTTGCAGATCATTGCTTTCGCCGCTCTCGTTGCCGTAGCTTTGGCTGCTCCACAACACAAGGACGAGAAGGATGCTTACGTAGTTAGACAAGAATTGGAGAACATTGGCGTCGAAGGATTCAAACAAGCGTAATTTACAATATTTTTGTGCATTTGGATTAGAATTAAAGTACAAATATATTTTTAGTTATGAGACCAGCAATGGAATCTCCGCTTCCGAAGAAGGACATGTGATCAACGCTGGAACTGAAAACGAAGCCATCGCCGTCCGTGGACAATTCTCTTACATTGGTGCTGATGGCCAAACTTACACTGTAACCTATGTAGCTGATGAGAACGGTTTCCAACCACAAGGCGAACACATCCCAAAAGCTGACCACTAAACCAGAACGATAATGACTGAAAATCTAATGACTAGTTGAAATTAAATTATTTTTTTGAAACATAAACATATGTATTTTATTTAACTGCAGTTCCTATATTTAACATAATTTCACAAGTACCACAATTGAAGCTACAAAATACATGAAAGAAATATGTGTAAATACATAGTAGTTGATTTATAGAAGAAAATTGCAGCAAAATAAATTTCCAACAATTTTTTTTTCTGCAAATTCATTTATACATAATAAAGCTTGTGTGTTTTATAATAAACGTAATTACTTAGAAATAAACCTTTTAAGAAATTCAACTTGTCAAATTAATTTCTTAAAATCACGATAAATTTATAAATTTTTATTTATTTATTTAAAAATACTTATTAGAAACAATCTGTTTAAAAGGGCTTACGACCTAGGTTTTTTCATTTATAAATTTCAATTAGCCTTAATTCGAGCCAAACTACTACGGTCTTATTTTTTTAGTAATATTAGCGTCTCTTGGAACAAATTAGCAATAACAAATTCAACAGAATAACAAAATAAGATAATAAGAAAATTAAAACCAAATTATTTTTGCTAAAAAAGTNATATGCATATTCTTAATAATAATAATTTATTGGCCAGACATCAATACAAAAAAAATACATTCTACAAATAAATAAATGATAAATTAACAACTAAATAATAACAACTCCCAAAAAAAATTAAAAAAAATATGAAAAGACTGGCCAAATGGCTATCGATCGAGGTCTTTCCGTATTTCTTGTTATTTGTACATTCAAATATTTAAACTAAATAATAAAATAATCTTAATTATAGATCAATTAATAATTAATACATACAATAATTTATAAAAATTGCAATATGTAATATAATTTATCTTAAATAAATATGAAATTATAAAGTTTCTCTTTATTAAAATATTTGTATTTGCTACAAGTATGGTCTATCCACTGAGATATTTCTTTCAGATTGAAGAGAAACAATTAATATATAAAATATGACTTATATTTTTCTTATGCTGAAATAATGAAATGAAAATGCTATTGACATACTGAACTATTTCGATAAAAAAATGAAACAATTCAAATCTAAAATAAATATATTTATAAAAACTTATACAAAAATATTATTTTTGTTAATAAATTACATTTGTACTATAAAAATGAATGGAATGGGTGCTCTGACCTTTAATGTGATCTCTCTTATATTTAGAAAGAGTACAACGTTGATGTGGATAGTTTTTTTTTATATAACAAAATGATTTGTATATAAGGTGTTTCATTCGAAGTTTTGATCACATTCAGTTGAATCAACAACTAAACACAACACAAACATGAAATTGGTGCGTTAAAAAGTGTAGATTGGTGATTGGAATAAACAATAATCAAATCATTTGCAGATCATTGCTTTCGCCGCTCTCGTTGCCGTAGCTTTGGCTGCTCCACAACACAAAGACGAAAAGGATGCTTACGTAGTTAGACAAGAATTGGAAAACATCGGCGTTGAAGGATTCAAACAATCGTAGTTTACAATATTTTTGTGGATTTGGATTAGAATTAATGTATAAATATATTTTTAGTTATGAGACCAGCAACGGAATCTCCGCTTCCGAAGAAGGAC